AAAAAAAAAAAAAATTAGAGGTTATAATTTGTTTTCTTGTTGTATTAAAATTCATTTATACGAATTTGCAAAAATTTAGAATTACGAAAATGGAAGAGAAAAAAAAGAAAAAAAAAGATGAGATGATATTCAACTATTGCAACTCAAATTATTCCCAATGAATATGAAATGCGATTTACGGGATTTGTGATTGTAGAAGGTCATCAGCCTCTTCAAACCTATTCAGATCATTTTCCAATCGAATTGAAATTTGGTTAATCATTTCAAGTATTGGATTATTTTTTTTAACCAATGATTATTTCTTGACTGCAGAAAAGGATGCAACTGATGGAATATTCTTGACTTTAATAGGATGAAATCACATTTTCGAATGTTAAATGTTCAAAAAAAAAAAAGTTGACTTCAATAAAAACTTTAAATAAGACACAAACTCTTGCAAATGAACAAAAGATTTAAAGATGGCAAAAAATTTTGTCTTAATTTATCATGCTGTAACTATGAACAAACTTATCTTTTGTTTAGCTTAATAAAAGTTTTCGATAAATTTTTTGATTAAACTTTTCAAAAAATTTTGTGATGTAAAAAAAAAAGTGCGCGAAATTCGTTGGATTTAAAAATTGTTATGAAAGAGCCATAAAAATCGATGCACAGATTTTTTTTTTCATCAACTATTCTTGCAAAATTTCAATAAATTTAGGAATTTTGATGGATTTTTTCAAAGTAAGCTAATATCGATTTTTAATCGACATTTGTTCATATTTAGCAAATTTAGGCTAACATTGATTTGCAATTGATATTTGTTCATATTTAGCAAACTTTTTGTCACATAGTATCACCACTATCACATTCAATGATTCAAACACTTTACTCGAAATGAGGAAACGTTTGATGAATTAACAATTGATAAAAATTCTTAAAAAAATGTCTCATAACTTCTTTTCATTATCCATTAAACAATATTTTTACTTCTCACTTTTTTTTTCCCCCCAAATCTTTTCAAAGCAAAACGATGTTAATGTGCGCAAGACAGGCGTCAACATGTCGTGCATTATGCATGTCGTAAACTAATTTACCGTAATTCCGGTAAATCGTTTAATAGAAATAAGCAAAAAATAAAATCATTGAACTTCTTAAATGTATAAGAAAGAATTAATCACCCATTCAAAAATATCATAAAATTTTGATGTAATAAAAAAAAAAAAGAATAGCATTTCAAAAAGACATATATATATCTCTTTCGATAATTTTAAACATTTGCACACTTTTTTTTTCTCGTAAACACTTCATTTAATACTTGATAAAGAATGAAGTTGCGCAAAATTTATGACTAGAAAATATGCTCAAATATCCATTACAAATATTATTTCAAATTTAAGTTTGAATTTCTCATCCTAACATTTTGATGTGTATTTCAGAAAAGCAGATTAGACTACTAATTTTTGCAAAGTGATAAAATGCAAATGTCTCCACAAAACAAATAAGATAGGATAAGCTCAAAATGATCAAAAGAATACTGTCATTAGCTATACAATTCTGCATACGATAAATGATTGGATGGTTTGAAATTTCTTAATCATTGAAAAAAATACCTGTTGGTGACATTTTCTGTACATGATAATTTAGTGAAATGAGTAGATTTTATTTTCTAAACAATATAAATTTTGGATATTTGCGAAGAATTGATATGAAAATACTTATTAGTTGAAAAGAAAAGAAACTGGAAATTTATATAAATGCATGAAAAGAAATGAAAAAAAATTGAATAACCGGAGATGAAGGAACAAAAAAAAAAAAAAAAGTAAACATTTACCGTAGAAGTTCTTGATACAAGAATAGAAATGAAACATTTTAAAAATAACTAAAACAAATGATGGCAACAAGAAAGCAAAATCAATAAAATTTGAATCTAAATTGAACTCGAAATTGAATTTTGATAATTTCAAAATTTACTCAATGTAAATGTCTAACTTGCATAATTGTGCAATGAGGAAATTATTAAAATGATAGTGAGATGGTGAGTTGAAAACTTTTTATTTATGGTAAATTTGATATATTTGATGAGAATATTTTCCCCTTGCTAATTGTCTGGATCAAAAAGCTTTTTAAATAGTTAATTAAAAAAAAAGGAAAAAGTGCACATTAGCAATTTATGGCAAATTGAACCGATTGTATAAACATAAAAGAGGTCATTTATTCAAAAGAAAAAGTAAAAGCTAATACATTTGTTAGTTATTCTTTCAGATTGAATACAATTTTAAAAGAATTCAAATTCATTGATTTCAACCCAAATATGCATTTATTCCATTTTAAATTATTTGGCTTGTAAGGATAGCCTTGATAACCCGTAAATTAAATCATGCAACAATTCAGTCGCATTATAAATTTTACACGCAGTAAAATTAAACTTTTCATTCGATTGGTTTAATGAAAAAAGAAGAATAATTACATGAAATATGCAAGCCACAAATTACCAATAATGGGACATTTACAGTAAGATATTTTTGAAAACTTTTGAGAAATCACAATATTTGTTAAAAATTCCTTTAATCATCAATAGGTAAGCGTAAACATAACATTCTATCAGGAAGATTATAATCTCAGGTTATTGCATTTTGCAATACCATCATAAGCGTACGATAACTTCAACTGTCTGTTATTAATTATTTAATGTTCATCTGATGATGTAATCTGATGTAGCTTACGTATATGTTTCTTGAGATCAAAATTACGACAAAAACCCCTGGCGCAAATTGGACAAACGAATGGTTTCTGTTCGCGATGTGTATGCATATGAAATGTTAAATTGTAGGTTTGATGAAAAGCCTTATTGCATACATTACATTTGAATCGCTTTTCTCCGCTATGCGTTAATTTGTGATTCTTATAATTTCCATTTTGATAAAATCCTTTACCACACAATTCACATATATATGGTTTATAGCCTAAAGCAAAATTTGCATTAGTCATAATTTATGAGTAATTAACATATCATCATCGTTATGTATCGATTCATTACATTTTTGAATTATAAAAATTTCAAGTCTTAATATTTAAACATATTGTAAAATTACTGAATTAACTGCTATTTCAAGCAAAAGAATTTAAATTAAATTTTTGTTTCCTTTTATGTCCGTAATTTATACAATTTTTTTTTTTCAATACTTGGTTTTATTTCAATTTCAATCCATAAAATTTGATTTAAGAAGTTTTCTTGAAATTCATTTAAAATAAACAAATTTATATTTAACAATAAAAATTATTATTTAGCAAATATTTTGTGACAGCAATTAAAATAGTAACTCACCTAAATGAATACGTATATGAGTGTTGAGGGTTGATGAGCGATTAAAGCATTTGCCACAGGTGACACACTGAAAGCTTCTTAGATGGTCATATTTATAATGAAAATGATCAGTAGCCTTCCTTTATTCTTCATCCTCATCTTCCTTTCATTCTTATTAATACATAAACGAATTATTCTCATATATATATATATTTATAATGTTTTAATATTTCAGTTTCTCTTAAAACTTTTCATATCTTAGGTAATTCATATTCATGAATTCATGGAATTGAAGGAGAGAAGAATGAAAAATGAATGCCTACTGTGTGGGGTTTTTGTTCGGTATGTATAATTTTATGACGACATAATGTTGAAGCCTGCCGAAAAGCTTTACCACAAACCTGAAATTCTCGAAAATTTGCAATAATTCAATTTTTTCAAAACATATTTAAGTTTTGAGTTGCAAATTTTTTTAAACTAAAATATAATTGTAAACAATATTATGGGAACGTTTTATGATAATAAAATGAATTTCAGGTCATTATAGATTAAATATCCTGAATAAAATCAATTTTATCATTTGAATTCTCCTGTTAACAATCAATCCACCTTTATCTTAAACAAATAAAACTCACACTATGAGTAGGCAAATATTTTTCATTATCCTTTCGCTAAGCTATAAGTAGTTGAAATTGTAAGTATACTTTCCCAGTTACATACATATAATGAATACATTCTGTTATAGCTTATCATTTATCACTAGACTTCATCACAATGCTATAAGGAAGATGAGCGGAATCTTGCATGAATTTGTTTTATACTTAGGATCTACAATTTAATTTCTTGCAATCATTTTTGAAAGGAATTGAATCTGACATGAGAAGATCAAGATTTCCTAATGAAAGGATGAATCCAAAAAATAACTCAAATGCTACGAAATATATCATCTGACTTATTTTCTCATACACGGAAATTTCTTGCCGAATGAACAGACTGAAGAAAAACCATTCTATCCGGAAAAAGCTAAATAAATTGCCAGGAAAATGAGGGAATAGAAGGAAAATACAGCAAATAAAAATTTTTTGACTATTAATAGCATTTTATTAAATTTTAAGACTTGTAAAAAGCAAATTCTTCGACTTTATAATTTCAGGACGACAAAAAATAATGAATTTAATTAAAAATTGAAAAATGATGGATTCAAAAATATTGAAATAATGAATTTAATCAAAAAGTTGTTATGGATTACACAATCCAAATTAATTTCCTCCTGATTAAACTGAAATGAATGGGTCAAAATAAACCATTGAATTAAACAATAAACTATTATATTCACGATTATCAAAATTACATCTTCTAAAAGAACTGTGAATATTAAAAAAGAAAAAAAAATGAAAAAAAAAAGGACTTTGCAAAGGAATGGTCGAGCTCCAGTATGGACCGGCATATGCCTTGTCAAATTATAATGTGCATTGAAAACTTTGCCACATTCCGGACATTCGAAAGACTTGCGCTTCTCGTCATTCCAAGAGCCAGTCCAAAATGAACTTGTTGATGAAGATGTCCAAACTTTACTTTCTCTCTTACCAACTGTGAAATCTAAAATTTCAATCATTCTATCACAAAATTAATTTTTCTTAACCATCGTAAAATGTTATAGAGTTAATACAATAATTAGATTAACCAGAAAAGTAACAGGTTAAGGTGTGTTTATCCAAATAACACAACTATATATCAGCTCAACATTTAGTACCAAATCAATAAGATACATAGTTTGATCTACTTATATATTATTATTAACAATTTAATAATCAAAAATTAATCGAAAAAAAACGTTTAATTAAAAAAGGAAAAAATAGGATAAAAAGGAAAACGAACAAAAAGTAATTAAGATATTCTTCCAAGTTGAAAATTATTTGTGAAATCTAAAAATGTTTGAATCATTTTGTTATCAGAATTTGGAATGATAAATAAATATTCACGTGTAGTTACCTGAATTAAGAATAGCATCAATGGAAAATGGAAGAAAAGCCATTTTTGCTGAAAATATTTTCTACAAATAAACTTTGATCGCCCACCGTTAGATTCAGCAAATGCTGAAGATGCGGTGAAAAAGATATGAATGATTGGTTTTCTGATGATTTGTGATGACAGCAGGCGGAGTCCAATGATATTCTTCACACCAATCAAACATTCCCCTACAAATTTTCCTTTAAACTACCGTATACCTTTTCCCTCAATATATATATATATATATTTATTAATATATCGTTTCTTTCCTTTTTCTATTTCACTATATTGAAATTTATTGAAAGTAAAATTTTTTCTAAACAACTTCAATTTTTTTATTATCATTATTTTTCATCCTTCCAATTCCTTCATTTTCCTTGTATTTTCTTTTTTTTTTTTTTTTTTCTATTTACCATGTTATGATGCTCGTAATGGATGTCACTGATTAATGTTTGCCATTGTATGATACATTTTTACGATCGTTTAAGCAAATTAATGACAAGTTAGCTGGCTTAGATAAAAACATTCGAAATATAGATCATCCATAACCAGTGAATCTGTAAGTAATAACGGATAGATTATTAAAATGCTTAACATAATCATAAATAAAAAAACGAAAAACTAACGGAAACTTGTCCCGTATCTTCAATCACATACTGGTATTAATTAATGTTAATTAGGCAATCCATTTACTTTTGTTTTTCTAATATCCATAGCAGTCAATCAATAGGATGCTCATTTTAATTAGGATTAAAAGACAGAAGAAATTTTTAAAAGTAAAATATACTTGGTGAGAGATTTTCTTTTACTGTCTGCTAAAAAGCTCGTTAAACTGACTGAAAAATGTCATTAGAAAGTTATCACGTCACTGCTGTTGGTTGAGTTTTTCAGATCTGACGAGCGACGAAAAGAGAGGTCTGCTCGTCCGAGAGAGTGAAAGTGAAGGCAGATAAATTATCTGCTTCCACATTTCAAATCACATTTTGAGAGTAAAGGCTGAATTACTAGATTCAGTCTGATATTTCCTACCATTGGTGTCCGGTTTGTCATGGTCCAGGAGTTTGTATGCCCTCTTGACATGTGTTTTATGGACTTCATGTTAGGTGTTAAATGGTTGGTTTTTGTTATGTTCATGTTAGTTCTATGTGTGATCGTACTCGCTATAGACTACACACATCCTGATGGTATCAATACATTGGTTCTGTGTCTCGTTTAATGGAAGCGTTCCAAATTGAAAATCAGCGTTTTGCTAAAACTTATGTTAGTGTAGCAGTACTTCACACTCAAAAATGCATCATATCAAGCGGTAACTTCAGAATGTAATATAGATATGACAGACGTGCAGAATAAAACCAGAACACAGCCAATCATCATTTGTCATCCACGAAAATATCCATTTCAGTACTGTTAGTCAATGAAACGTCCAAGTACTCAAAGCATTGTACAGGACTCAACTTACATCTGTTAGTCTCTACTGTATTTGTCTCTACGCCTAACTCACACCGTAAGTTGCATTACGCCTTGAAGTGAATCAAACAAACGTTCAGTTTCCAATTGTTCGGCGGAGCAATCTTCATGCTCAATTTGTACTACAACAGCTTCACTGAGAATTCAAGTCGACATTTTCCTTAAGATTTTGATTTTAAAAAAATAAAAGTTCGTCCAGTAATAGATAAAATTCTTGATTGACCTTTATTCACCTCGACATTCTCTAATGCTTTCTTGCAATAATATAAGTTCCCGAAGTCATTTCTGTCATTTTAAAATCATTTCTAATTTCACTTCGTCTTCCGGTAATTTGCAAGTAACTTGACGCAGTTCACTATTCTTTGGAAAAGAATGCACGGAAAAGTGAAATAGCTGAAGTACAAAAATACAGGTAACTCGACGACTATAGAAATGACAGGACGTTCATAGCAATGACAATTACATTCGCAACTGCAAAACATTAAATTAAAAACATTCAGGACACCTCCTCACAAGTAAAATATCCTGCACAAAATTGTCCCTTCTCTTTCTATCCATCATCCAAATTGTAAAAATAATCATCAGACTCTACAGGAAATACCATAAAAAGCAATTACGTGATTTGTCCTATACGACTCCCGCTTTTTTTCCGATGACTGCTTACTCTAAACTTATCCGCCGTCTCATGCTAAAAAAAGATTTCCGATCATCTGGGGCGCATGCTGCAATTTACCGAAATGGGAGATGAAAACTAATATAAGTTTAAACAGTATATGAATCTTCACTGAACCACAGCTGACAGAATACTATTTGCAACTAGCTTCCTAAAACTACTCAGTGCCCATGGATGTTAATACAAAATTTAAACTTTGACATCGTTCAAAGTTAAATCTGAAACTGAAATAAAACACCGCATTAACTCAGCACGTAAACTTTACTCTAAACCGTGTCTTTCAGAAATCAGTAAAACGAAACGCGAAACACAGAAACTCCGGAAAATTGAAATATCACAAAAGAGGAATGAATGAATATTAGGCTGAGCACAACGAATTGTCAAAAAAGATGGAGGAAAATTATAAATAAGATTGTGAATGATAAATAGTAACTGACGATAAGCTACCTTTACTGTGATTTGAACTATCAGAAATTATAAACATGATTTCTGAAGAAGACTATTCAAATATGTAGAAATGACATGCTACAGACTGCGACCATTATTATGCTTATTAGAATAATATGATACAATACTGAATGACTTAATACATAAAAATACAGCAGATGAAATAAAACGGGATTATTATGAACGACAACAATTTGAGATAATGCCACAACAGTTATATCAGCTAACTGGATAACAATAACAAGCTATGGCTTACAATTTGATGACAGCCATGTTAAGCCTTCATAAAGGCCGTCACCGGTTGTAGCACAAGATGGCTGTACATACCAATTTCGATCTCTTATTCGTGTCAGTCCCAATTTATCCTGTATTTCATGAGGCTTCATTGCTGTAATGTAACAGAAATTTACAGTTGGTGGCTTGAACTTTTAAGTGGAAACTCTATAAAAATGTGAGAGTTTCAAAGAGAACCCTTTCTGTTCCCTCCAGTTTAAAAAGTTCTAGGCAATCATAAAGAAACAGGACATGGACATAAAGACACCGGTATCACCGAAATGAGACTTGATTGGGCAGAGATAAGGATGATCTACCATAGGCCGAGTTACTACTGTTTTTACCCTTTCAAAAATGCTAGAGACTCCAGTCAGGATAGTGTCGTGTTTCTAAGAAACTAGCAAATAACATATCATTTTCAAAGCTCACCCAATGCTTCTACGATACATATGCATTCATAGCGTTTTAAAGGTATTTAACCACTAGCACTTCTACATCTCTATCGGAGAGCCCTATGTAACAATACAAAAGTATTTTCAAAGAAAAGCATGAATCAACAGTTTCCGAAAAGACACAAGCAAACATTATGCACGACTCTGAGCTTTTTTTTTTTAAGGACTAACCTTCTGAAAGATCTTGCTTGTTGGCAAAAACAAGGATAATTGCATCTCTCATTTCACGATCATTGATGATTCGATGCAATTCTTGCCTTGCTTCATCTACTCTTTCTCGATCAGCAGCATCAATTACAAATATTAAGGCTTGTGTACCTGTGTAATAATGCCTCCACAGGGGTCTTATTTTGTCTTGACCACCAACATCCTATAAGTTTAATTTTAATAAAGGAAGATAAGGGATGAAAACTTACGACATGACAAATATTATCACTGGAGTTAATAATCATATGTTTAAGCTAGCGGTGTATGCCTTAAAGAAATGCAGAAGGTACTTTTTTCATATCCAGCAGAAGAGGGATTACGGAGATGAAAAAGTAAGTGAAAAAGAAAAGTTGACAGAAGTCAAATGAAAGAAAAAAAGTACTTTTCTTGAAATTAAGAAATCTCACCCAAACATTAAATTTAATGTTTTTGTAGGTTACTGTCTCAACATTGAAACCAACAGTGGGGATCGTTGTTACTGACTGTCCCAATTTCAATTTATATAATATAGCTGAAAAAATAACTGGATGAAACATCAACTGGTCTGTTCCAATACAGTGTTATTTAATCTCAGATTTAGGTTACAATAAAAAAGCTACACAAATAGGTGCTATCAAAGTCTAATATATATTTTAATGAAAATAAACTTCAGCAAAATTTCAAAATTTGTTGAATTTTGAAAAATCCAACAAAGCTTACTTGTCTTGCCAGCAGCATCCAAGCCAAGCATCAATATTCGCATTTCTCGTTTGCCAAATATTTTTGACAGTAACTTCCCCATGATTCAAGTGAAAAGAAATTGAGTAGGGGAAGACTCTCCTACCAATGTCACAATACGGTGGATGTCACCACTGTACTGATGATTTCGGTTCTTAACAACGTTACACAAAGGAATTCAAAAACCATTCTCTGGTAATAATGACATGGTAACGTTCTCAGTGTGTAAGTAGCACGAGTGATGAATCAATAATCAGCAATCAACTGTCCCGATAGGATGACTGTTGCAATAAGGACGATGAATACACGGTTTTAGAAAACCTAAAACCACACAACTTTTGTCAGAAATAAACGACAGTTACACAAGGACCAAAAGCTGTAATAAAGACATTACGCCTGATATAAAAAAAAAAGAAAAAAAAACAATCTTGACAAGCACGTTTCAGGACGATATAAAAATGGGAAGGGCTGAGCAATGTTGAAGCATGACAGCACAATGTTTTTGAAGCTTGACATAAAGGCATTATTACATAAAACAAACAAGATGAGATTCTTCGACCAAAAAAGATAAATTCATAGAGTAAACCCTCCAAGTACCCAATCGATTGAACGGATGGAATCAATTTCTGAATACTAACACATTATCGCATCTGGCTATCTAAGTCAATCAACACTGCCAATGACCGTGTCCAAAGGAATAAATTCATCAAAATCTTTCCTGATTTTAGAATGCAGGGAGATTAAAGCAAGAAAAGAGGAAAATATTAGAAAGTAGGGTATACCTGAAAAAATGCCAGTGCCCAACGGATTAAACTGCCATTTATTTCAAGGACTGACTTGTTCAAGGAAATGATCCTCTCTTTCTTTCCTTTTTCTCCTTGATTTTCCCTTTCTTCGTCACTTTGTGTTCTTTCTTTCTACTCTGAAATACAGATTAAATTCCAGGCTAGCAAGATTAAAAAGCTTCCATGGTACAAATGACGGACAGAAGTTAGAACATTTATAACGTACGTCGTTAAATCATGAATGTATAAGCTTGGAATTTCAATAGTTAATTTAATCCTCCCAGAATTAAAAGATTTCATTAAATCATGATCTTTAACTATGATAAATGATTTGTCATTATTACATCGTAGACTGAAATTACAGTTGGGGAAATATTTCCCAGTAATGTTCTTGTTCCATCAACACAGAAATGATGAGAAGATTGAGCTCCTTGGTGCCATATCTAAAAAGCATACTTTCTTAATCCAGAAAATGCTCCGTAAGTAAGCACCCGCTCCCGTCTACCAAGGTCACAAAGGTTACAAGCTGATGGTCCACATTTCAACATTTCATGACCAGCCATGCCATTGTGCAACTCTAGATACCAAAGCAATTTAAAATGCAATTTCCCCGTTGCCCTCTTTGCTGGACCGTATTCCCGAAATCCCACATCTTCCTGATGTTCAGTAAGGACTCATAAATTCCCTTACTCTTAGCACTTCAATTCAATTTTGGATTATTGATAGTTGAAATGATATAAATCTAGAATAAAGTAGCAGCTTCCGTCACGTCGATTCAGTACATCAAGTTACGACTTCTCGCCATACAACAAATTGATATTCTGAAGAATACAATTGTGCAGTGGTCAATCCGATATGCTTTGTTGGAGTAACCCACCAGAACGGGTGATATCTTTGTCGAAAAGGAAAGAAGATAATGAGGATTCGAACAGTAGCATGTAAGGCAAAAAACGTTGATCAGTAATATTTGTCCCATTGTTAATAACCCAGTGTATTTTCTAATTGTGGAGATTTCCGGACAAATGTGATTCAGTTGATTTCCTTTAAAAAAACCAGACCGAACCAGACCTTTCACGCTTAAACCTGCAATCGTAATTTGAGGATTTGTCAAGAAAATTCCAAGCCATAAATTCCAACAGGCAAATTAAAAAAAGAAAGTGTTCCATCTTCTATTTCCCTCTTCAAAAAAATTTAACTTATGTAATTTAGTCACCGTCGATTTATTCTTTCGTATTTAACAAAGCCCGAAACCAATCTTCCCCCATCATCGGTAAATGCCCCGAGCAGTCCATCACCAACTTCCGGTTCTTATCAGCAAGATCTTTTCTTCGGTTCGATGTTCTTTTGACAACATAGAATTTGCCCGCCACATCCACGAAAACAAGCAGGAATTGGTAAACGCTCAATAACATCACGGCTCACCCGTAATGTAACTTCTATCTTTCACACAATTTCTGAAAAGGAGTTACCGCCACCATCAGCTAGTTCAGAGATCTTGCGGAAAATATAACTTCGACATCGTCAAAACAAAATGACGAATTCCCAAGGTTACCATACACTGAAAATGATAGTTCAAACTAACGTACTAAGATTGATGTAACACCGTTAAAAAATAGACGAATGTCTATCTTGAAGGCATAGATCAATACTGAAATGGAATAATTCATTCATATTCCCGATTTTTGTAATTTTAATTCCAAGTAATTCCTGTAATAATACAACAATAACCTTAAATTTTGAGAATACAGGAATTACAAAATAACAAAATGCATAACCTAAAACATACAGTCGTATAAGAACGATTGCAAAGGTAACCAGAGTAAATCATCGATCAATGGTATAAGAAAATGTGCGAAGGCATAGTTCTAAGACATTTAAAACAACAGTAATTTTTAGTTTTAAGCCAGCAGGATATCCTGGTTTAAAACTTTGCCTTTAGGGCATTTCATTTGTCTAAATCCTGGATCTTTTAACAAGGGATAAATTATCAAGCCTTTTGCCTTTTTAGTTTTTCCGTTCTTTCCCACTAAGGCAGAAGCAAAAGATTTGTGGTACACCTCTCAGTTCCTGAATCTTTTTTTTCAAAACATTACAACGGATATTCATCTGAGATGGAACAACCCAAAACTAACAGTGTTGCATGGCAACGAAAGAAAAGTCCTCCTACACAGGACGATATATACTATTACAAGCAAACAAAAAATTGTTAAAACTTTAATAAATTATTATCAAATAAATAAGTAGAATCATTGTCAAATAAAGAAGTAGGATTTAAGAATCGAGAAAATAAGCTTTTAAACGTAGAGAAATTACAGGCACAAGATGATACACATATAATGTTGAAATCAAACTGTGACGTCGTGCACATCGTTTCGGACCACAAGCATGAAACAGTGATAACTCGTTTCAGAGACGACTCATGCTGCAAAAAGGATCAAAGATTAATTATTAAACAGTGAAAGGTGTTTTTGCTCAGACAATGTGTGATATATCTGCACTTCAAACTGTTATACATCATTTAGCCATAAGCAAATTCTTTCTCATCATACTGTTATTGGCTGTTCGTCTTATATTAACTCTCTATGCAATACCACCAGCGTTTACATAACACTGTATCCTCATGCTTCCATACACATACACATGTAAGAACACGAAAAGGCACGAACTAGCAGATAAGGGATTTCAACTAATTAAATCCACAGCATGACTGGATCTCTCGGAGGTGTGCATAGATCCAACATAAATGAGTTTGATCGCACCAATTAAAAAATGTCGCAATTATTGATCATACCCTGTAAGTGACCCATTCTGGATCGAGAACAGATCCTCATCATCAGAACCATCTTCTCTATCGCTTATATCTTTACTCAGTGCTTTCCGTAAATCATCAATGCGCTTTTCAGCACACTGTAAATCTTTGATCAGGATCTGCTTTTCTAATTCCATTTTTTCGTGCTCGATAGCCTAGGAATTCATCAAATTACCAGCAAGCATTAAAAAACATTTCTCTTTATATTCACGGTCATACGCTGTACGTAAAAGTATGAAAATGAAGTAAGTTATATCTTCTACTTGAATTAAATTGAAGCCAAATTTATTAATTTCATGCGAAATGTTCCCAGTCAAACTAATTTTCATAACAAAACAGGTCAACGAATGGACTGAAAGAAACGATATGTAAAAAGCTGCAGATTGTTTATACAGTCTGTATTGAAGTTTACGAGACAAATTCTATCTAAACCATTCTTCAGCTCATACATTTAAGATGTAACAAACTTGCTATTTCATATATTAAAAAGCTAATATCAACTTACAACTTGTTTGCATTTATGAACAAGATCCATTTCTCTCTTACGTAGATCTTCCAGCTGCTCCTGTAGAGCACTTATGTCTTTGCGTGTTTTGCGGTTTGCATTAAGATCTTTTTCACGTAAGTTATTCAGTTCCTGAATTTGATCTTTCAGTGACTCCACCTCGTCATTTACTTTTATCATCAAAGCCTGTAAGATTACTCCATAAAAAGAATTCCTTGAATGTTTCAGTGCATCCAAATAAAAAGTAGAATAAAGCACGCAACAGATCGAAGTATGAAGCAAGTATTTAAGGAGAGATAAAGCCAACAAGAGCTGCGTCATTAAGTGTTAAAGTATTGTGCAATACCATGGAGCAAACTAGTCCAAATTTCAAAATTTTCTACCACAGATCCAAAAATAATGCATTTCATTGTGATCTCTTTACCTCAAGTCTAATTTTTTGTGAGATCTCCAATTCCAGCTTCGCTTCTAAATCACGTATTCTCTGCTCAGCCAATAACAATTTATGCTTCTCAACTGAATGTTGTTGATGATATTCCAAAGCCGACGAAACATCATTTAATTGTTCGCGCAACTTCTCCTTATCTTTTTCCATATCGGCCATCTGAAACACTTTCTCACAGTGAAAATCTTCCAGAAATAATAAATTTCGCTTTATAGATAGTTCAAAATAAGCCACCTGAGTCTTGCGCAGTTAATCATTGGATGAACAAAAAGCATTCTGTCCCTAAAGAAATCAGTTGCTGAAGAAACAGACCATTAATCGCTGGATACAAACCTGCTCAAACTGGTCCGCAATTTTTATCGAATCAACTGCACTTTGTTGCACCGCCGCCTTGTATTTTTTAAGTAAGCTGCGCACCTGCTCATCCTGTTCCTCAACTAGCGCTAATGCACTACTTTTCTCTTTGAAAAGTACCAATGCCCGATCTTCTGCGGAATTTTTTGCTGTCAGAGCAGCTTCTAACTGCAATATGGGAATACCACATCGGCAGTGATCAATACGCGAACATCGTTCAAAACAATGGTACTCCAGCATCAAGGGGAAAAAGAACCACAGCATAATTTACACAGAAAAATCTGAATAATAAACATTGCGAAATAAGACAAATAAGAAGAAACTGGTCCACAGTTCACCGGAATAAGCACATCGATAAGGAAAGAAAAACAGAAAAGGATTTACTCGCCTGAGCTCTGACTTCAGTAAGTTCGCTTTCCAAAGAATGACGTCCTCGAAGTGCACTCAATTTTGAAGCTTCAGCATCCATCAGTTGCTCTTGCAATTGACAAATCATTGACTGATTCAAAGAATTTTCTCGTTCACGGGCCAAAACCCGTTGCGTATCCCGCAAAAGAGCTAGAGCTTTCCTCAAATCGCGCTTATAATGACTTGATGAAGCTTCGAAACTGAAAGCGAAAGATGAAATAGTCATCAATGAATTCGGAAAAAAAATCACTGAAAGGCATTAAAAACATATATAAAAAGGATTCAAATTATAATTCACCTAACGCTATAGTTATCTATATCACGTGTACGTCCCTCCAATATTCGATTCTGCTTTATTAGAGATGAATTCGTGTCCTGTAAATCTGCCACTTGCTCCTCAAAAGCTCGAATCTGAAAGGAGAATTACGGGATATTCTTCCTTTAAACAACCACCATCAAAAATTAATGCCATCAAAATCTTACTCGTCTTTGGTACTGTGACCTAAGTTCGTCGATTTCATTATCCTTGGCTTCCAAATCACGCAAACGTTCCGTTCGGCTTCGCTCTGCAGCCATTTCCAATCTCGTTACTGTTTGCTCTAACTGTTTGATCGTATCCGTTAATTCATTGAGTTCTTCTTCCTTCAAGGCAGAAAATGCAACAATGCTGAGCTATGAATAATTTTAGTAATGTTAATTTTGAGTAATTTTACCACTTAACTCATATTTTTCAGATATCTTACCTGCTCAGTACATTTCATCTCCAGGGAATGTTTTGTTTTCTGCAATGAACTAAATTCACTTTCTGAAGAGCCTTCCTTAACTTCGCTAAGTTCTTCCAATTCTTTTCGCAGCTTTGCAACACTCTGGCGCAGCTCACCATTTTCAGCTTTCAAATTCTGAAAAATACTAACACCTTCAAATCCAGCTAGAAAGAAAACCAGCAGCACATTCGATGAGTTTTTTAAGTTGAAAGAAAAAATCCAATTGGAATAGTGGAATAACGAAGTAAAACATAAGATTAAAGAGTGAAAGACATTTAAAAATGATAAGTGAAAATTCTCCTAAACTTTTTAACCGACCAAAACCAAATTCATCCATTACATCAAAAAATACGACCTTCTATGAATTTCTTTAAACGGATCGTACAAAAAGTTTATACCTGCAATTCTGTAAATCGTCTTTCATTGTTACTGGTAGCTTCTTCTCGCTCACGCTCGGCTTTAATCCGCTCCTTTCTTTCCTTCTCGCTATTGTCTTTCAGAGTTTTCAAATCCAGATCAAAACTAAAGAAAATATGGAAAAAAATTTCGCATTGGCCATACAAAAAACATACATTTCACACAAAAACAAACTTATATTCAAAATATTTATTAGACGATATACCCATGCACATACTTCTTATATTTCTTCTTCAGTGCATCGTTTTTTGCTCTCAGATCTTTCAGTTCATTTTCAACATCCTTCAGTTGCTGCACTGCTTTCTGAGCTCTCAAACGTTGCACTGAATCACTTTCTTTCAAAGCTGCAACTTCTTTTTGCAACTCTACAGTCTGCAAAAAAAAGAAAACACTTGGAAACCCTTTTAACAGTTTAAAATTATAATATTCAATGAAAAAAAACCACGTAGCACGCAGCGCGAATCGATAGCACGTAGAAATGATATACCAACCAAACAAATAAAATGAATGTCAAATTAACCTTAGCGTCTATGTGCACACTCTGATCGAGACGTAAACGAGATGAACATGACGAAGATATACGTGGATCCTCTTTTGAATCTGAAAATTTGCGATTTTGGAATGTAAATTCCCAGAAAGACGTTCTCTTAATTTTAATGGAAGTGAAACGTGTACGAATTACCGTGGAAATGCTGTTGTAGTACCAGTACTTGCTTCTCAGTCTGAAGGCGATGTTCCACTTCCCGTTCTAAAGCATCATTCATAGACTGCGCATTCCCACGCTCAACAGCTAACATTTGTTCCAGTTCCACAACATGCGCTTCCAGGCGGTTTTTTGCTGCACGTAACTCTTGGATTTTACTCTCTTTTTCATCCAGTTTCTGCTCCCACTCGCGATTTTCACGATCACTTCTAAAAAATCTGAATCCTTTCACGATGTCCACTGCTAAAGATACAGAAATTGCCATTTCTTTCAAAACCGTATATTAATTAGAAAATAAAGGACCTTGTTGCTGCCAGAAGCGGCGACACACGAATGTAAAGACGCCACCAAGGCCATTCACGCACTTTTGCGTAAGCACGACCATTGCGTTGTATGCAACGTATCGCTATTTCTTGTACACGTCGCTTAGCCAACCATTTTGTAGCCAGATATTTACGACAGATTTGTTGGAAGTGTTCAATAAGGCCACTCAAACAAAGTTCACGACGTTCTTCCAATTCATCCAGTAAATCGCTACGCAGGAGAACCTGATACATTCACTGCTTATATGATCTATTTGTCCAGTGCCGTTAGTAACAAATTAATATCTAACTGACAATAGACGAAACACTCAATTTTGTTAAACTGCTTGCGCTAATGCAAAAATTTTGCCGAAATCTTTACCTGGCTTAAACCCAGTCGATACCGATGCGGAAATGCACCCATTTCCTCCAGTATTTTACCGGAGATGGCTCGATCATCCATGTATTCGCTTGAAGTATTCTGCTCTTTCAACAAACACTGGAAACGACATCGAAAATATTTGTAAGGGACTTGTTCCGGGAAACCTGGAAATAAAAAGAATAACAATATCAAAGTCACCTCTAAAAAAAAAATCCGACATTAAATATTTAACAATCGTTGACATGAACAAGACATAACATACCCTGGCTTGCAGCACGAGCTGAATTGACCAACGAGAGGTAACGCAGCTGATTTCGGACATACTGTATATTGAGGAGTTCATCAGGTCGCACATGCACGTCAACTGCGGATAATGGTCGGATACAGTGTACAAAATGAAGACCGGTAGTTCTTTTGATGCATGAGGTGATGTAATTCTGCAATCCGTTCAATATTTTCATTCACACGTACTGGATACTTTACAACATCACTCAAAAATCAAAACCGATGAACACTGGTGTAATGATCGGTTACCAAAGAAACACCGAACATAAATTTCGAAAAATCTAACTGGAAAACTGGACTTAATTAATAAAATGCTAAACAAAAGGTAATTGAAAAATTACCAGTTGAAAACAAAAAGCAGCAAAAAATCCAGAAATCACACGCATACCAGCAGCATCAAGTTTGATCGTTTGTGTTGCTTTTCGCATTTTCAACGGTGTATTATCAGTCACAGGGCTGGTAACCGGTGAAAACATACTTGCAATTGTTAAACTAAATGAAAACGATATTTGCACATATAATCATGTAAATCAAATGAATACGAATAGAGGATCCCTCGCCCTTTCTATTTCCATCTTCCAGACATGATTCTAGAACCAAAAATCCAATTCAAATTACAGATTCAAACGATCTGACAAAACGATAATGAAGGCAATTAAGGGAACGAAGAGGAAACCACTTATTCACTATACTCCACTGTTTTAATAATGGAATATAAGTTACATTTGCAGCCCTAGTTTCACAATATTTAAACGAATACTTACTTGTTCGAGGTGCACAATAAAGAAGTGAGTGAGGAATCGGCATAATCAGACTGGGCAGCTTTTACCCAGCCTTGAACATTATATGTGACAGAACTGCTATCGAGGCCGTGTCGTAGCACAAATGTTAGTGGATTGGTGCCGCGTCGAATCAAGTCTAAAACGGGAACGAAAAATAAAAAATCGTTTTATTTTTTAGTGCTCAAAAAATGGAACTTACGTGAATCAGCAAGATGAACGAAGATTCTCTCCAAGAAAGAATCGTCTGTCGCTGCAGGAAATAGTGCTTCCTCATCCAAAATACACATCAGACCACGTTTCTCCGTACTTCGCAGTTCAATATCTGCACAGTTTGACTGAAATAACCCATACGTTCTCAGATGACAGAAGATTTAGTAAGCATAGTTTTGCTTACGCAGCTTAGAATGAAAGACGATTTAGACGGGATGATGCAAAGAAAAGTATCGTCAGCTCTTTCAAACAGTATTACGGAGCTATGAGCTCTTACAATATTCGGACTGAATAACTTACTGAGTAACAAGCCTAAACTAAGTTTATTTTGGAATCTTTCAAAATTTAATGTCACAAATTATTGCTTCACTATTACCAGGATTAATGCTATGTAACAAATTACCAGCTGTTGTCTTTGATCAATTAATCGGCAAATTTCGTGCGAAGAATTTTGGGTTTGCTCAACATCAGCTTCAACCTGCTCCCTTTTGTACATTTCCAGAGGCTCATTAAAGCATACATCATAGTAGAGCTCCGCAAATCGCTCACTTACATAATTGTATAACAAATCGTTGAGACCACGAGGATGAACAGCATCCTAAAAAAATCTCCTCATAAGAACTAAAATGATGAGTATCGGAATCAAAACGACTTTCAAACTTCCGAGTACAAAAATAGGCGGAATATTTGTTTTCAGTTAAAACACTACACGACGATCTTTAACAACAAATGAAAATTTAATTCTACCGGACTGAATGATCCAAACTGGCTTCCTGGATAATCAACAATGGTGATGGTAGACGATGCCGTTGAACCGCCTTCCCCTAAACGGCGGTTTAATAAACGAACAACAGCATCAAACAGTTCGTTATACAAACAAGCAGTAAATCGATTCAAAGCTTCTTGCCCAGTTTGATTACGTGTCAATAGCGAAAATCGGCTAAAAGTAAATTGGGATAGTATTTAATCTTAAAATTCCATCTATATATGTGGTAATATTTAACAGAATCAAATCGAGAAATTAATTTTCTCCTTGTTGTTGTCCATTCAAATATTATACTCTATATAAGACCACTGTATACATTAATTCCTCTTTTATTCGAAACATTTCAATATTAAACACTTATTTTAATAGCCAACAATAACTACTCAGACTTAAGATGTATTTTTGGATATGGTTCAATCTCTATATAATGGTCGCCATGGAGTATTGAGAAATCGATGCATAAATCCATTTACAATACCTGACAGGATTACTGGATACAGTTTGTGAAAGATTTTTACGAAAAACAGCTGAAGTAAGCTGTTCCATTTCTAGCCCCAGTAATGAAGCAGCTTGTTGAGCATGCTGCATGTGTATAAACTGAGATTTTGGCGCGTCATTTTGTGTAGCTTCAGCACAAATCAGATGCAGGATTGCCGTAAGAACAGATATGATTGCAGCCTTCTCCTTTTCAGTAAAACCCAACTCCGTGAATGAATCCAGTAGCTTTAACCAATCCTAGAAGAAAGAAATGAAATCAATGATATCGAGAATTCGAATTAATCTTCCAGAATTCTTAACCTCTTCGGTAAATGAATTTTCACATGTCGAATATGATACCACTAGCTAACAAATCCCAGATATATCCCGTATTTGAAAAGAACTTCACAGATCCCAGACATATAAAATTACAATACACGGAACATGAATTCAAAATGAAACACTTTTTGGGAATCAGCAAATGAATTGTCGTTTTTCTGCTTGAATGCTGCCACTAACTCTGAGTCAGCTCCTTGCAAAAAATAACGTATTACATGAAATACGCTTCCATTAGTGATACAGCGATTGATACGAGTTTTTTCCAGTAAAAATGTTTGTATAGAAGCATTCCTAGAAATATACCACGTATCTCACATATATACAGTTTACGAATGTGCGTTCCCACGAAAAAAACGAACTAAACTGTTACCAAAAATGTGACAGAAAGTGACACTGCTCCTACTCAACAAAACGTTCATGAAGAAACAATGTATTTTCTATCCCATCTTCACTCCTCTCTTCGCCATGGAAATGGGAATCAGTAACTTCTGGGACGTAGTCTGCAGCATAAAAAATGTGAAAAAAGAATTCGCGTCTCCCAACTACCATTCATTTCACAAATGATGGCTGACACCAATATTAGTGATGTCGTGGATAAAATAAATTTGTAAAAAACTTCCTAGAATTTGAGCGGGTAAAGTAAAATTACCTTAATGATGCCGCAGTATCAAATGAAAGCGAAAACATCGTTAAAAATCGAGTTGAATTTCCACTGCTTTTCGTTCTACAGTTACCGAACGATTCCAAAACAAACAGAGCCGATGATATTGTGTCATCTGAAAGAGACCCCATGTAAAGTACAAAATGGACATCAGCTAATTCGGAAAAGTGATAAATTTTGTAAAGAAAACATCTTTTAATTCCTTATTCTTTAAATAATGATAACAGTAGTCATAGTAATTATGTATTCCTGAACTTAAGCCTTAAATTTATAACCTTTGATTCTACTTCATGTTAACCAGTCCCGTGTTCTAGTTTCGCAGGTTTTTTTCCTGACAAAACTTACAGTGTAAAAACATTGCTGGATTTTATTGATTGCCGTTCCCAATTCACTTGGAATTGAAGTGATGGGTCAAAAAAGTGGAATTAACATTTACTGTTATTATGGACTTACATGATAGTGCTTTAGTCCAACCAGCTACTTCGCAAAAATAACGACATATATTTCGCAGTTGCATTGTTTTGCCGCTACCAGATGTTCCCGACAATATAATACACTGATTTCTTCCTGACATTTGCAAAGCCCTTTAAAAAGTTGAGATTCAGGCATTGCCAAATACGACCATAGATAAAACTTACATCAATGGACAGCGGGCAAGCATATTTCATTATGGAATCCAAATGACACGGAAGGCCTTACCTGTAAGCTTGCTGTGCAGAAGAATATATGTGTGGCGGGATCTGCTGTCGTCTGCAACCTTTGAAAAGTGAAACTGTTGTTGTTGTTTTTGGACTTTCAGTTGCCAGACATATCATATTCCGTGGGCCAACGTACGTGTAAAACAAGTTACTGCCATAACGTTGACGAAGTACATGCAGTACACTAGTTTCGTTTATATAGCGTAAACTGGAACGCAAAAATTGGGAACGAAAAATCAAAAAAATTATGCGAAGAAATTTTATGGTAAGCGAAATTTTGATGCAATGAACTTATACGACGATTTATTCAAACTGAGATGAATTTATTCAAATGTTCGCTGTTTAAATACTCGTAAAAGAGAAAAAGTAGTAACCTGATAAGATCCTTAACGCGATCCAAGCTTGACGGATTTGCTTTATCAATATCCGTCACATCAACATCCATTTCCAAATCCATCACTTTTACTCTCATCCTTCCATCTGGTAATGTTTCCAGCAAACGCGCGAGCGTAAAACCATTTTTATGAATTAACCAACACCGTTCCTCTTCCGGAGTATCCTACGCCATTAAACTGGTATTACAACTTGCAATTTCCTATATTTCATTGCATTCCTTCGCCAATTTATTTCCAAAATTCCACTTTAAACCGATAGTTTTTTCGGAAAAAATTACCGTATCGGCTTGGTATTTCGGAGTTGCAGGAAGCATCAGTGAATCGCCAATAACAGAGCGATCCATCTCATTCCGCTCGCACAATTCGGCCAATTCCGGTGCAGCTCTTACTGTTAGCTCAACAGTTGGACCACAGCGCTGCAATAACAGCTGCTAGCAAACTGAGAGCATCATTACTTTACATTATCGAATTTTGCACTTCCAATTAAAATTAACAGTAATAATCTTCTACACTATCCGAACATCCAGTAAAGAAAAGTAAATCACATATATGTATATGCATATATATATATATATATATATATATATATATATATATATATATATATAT